AAGATGAGCAATACTATGTGCAACACCTTAACCAGCAGGAGCGAAGCTAAGGCAGCTGTGAAAATTGAGCCAAAGGTTAAGCTTAAGAAACCTAAGGCTGTGAAGAAGAAGAAGGTTAACCATCAAGAGAAGACTTCACACCAGAATTCACTGCAAGTTCTAAAGCTACAAGTACCCAAGGAAAGAACAGAGCAAAGAGAGAGCATTGGAGAACAACACACTGAAGTTGTAGCTAAAACTCCAATCTGTGAAGCTTCACATGGACGACCAGCAACAGCCAACCAAAGTAATTCCTCTAACTCTATAAGTTTAAAGAATCAGACATGTTATAGATGTCATAGGCGTGGACACTTTGCTGCTGTTTGTCCATCTAGGAAATTGATAGAGACATCACTAGAAAAGAAAACAGACTTATTTAGGAAAAGTGATAGTTTTATTCAATCTGATTTGTTGGTTCCAAATTCTTGTATGATGCACTTGTCTTGTCCAAGAGAATGTGAAATATTTTCAGGAACCATGGTGGAGTACACTGCCCAACAGAATGAGGCATCAACCATGATGTTAATAGATGTTGAGCAGAAGTCAGTCCAAAGAAAGGCTGCCACAATGCCATTCAAAGCCAGCCTAAAAATTTTTGATCCAGTAATAAGACAAGAAGATGATCATACCAGCCAAGGTAAGACTTTGCAAGAAAAGCAGCCATCTAACCAAACTTATCCAAAGAAGAAAATAATTCTTCAACTTGTGGAAGCTATCAAAGTAAGTCTGGAAACTTCATAATTTGTATATCAGTGTCCAAACACAGATATAATGCACTTGCTTTTCCAGAATGTTGAGAATTTTTCAGGTTGCAAAGAAGTAAGCTTCAAATACATCCCACAAGATGATCTTTTGATGCTAGGAGGATCATATCCAAAGGAGACCAGAAACGTGGCTACCCAGGCTTTGGAGAATCATTCAATCCAGAAAAGATGGAGTGCCCAAGTCCACAGCAGAGGCGTGATCCTTTCCTATCTTTTCAAAGAAGAGCCACCAGATGCACCATGCATCACCAAACCAAAATTGTATCATCAAGGTAAGGTTCTAAACTCCCAAAAGAGAACGAAACCTGACTTGCTCTATTGTGGTGTATCAGGTTATCCAGTTTTGAGGTCAAAACCTTTACAAGAGGGAGGGAATGATGCGGCCATCAAACCAGTAGCTGAACCGGAGGTCCATCCAACATCCCACTCACCCAACCAAGGCGTCAAGCAGAACATATGTGCACTAAAAATGCCATATCTATTAAACCAGGAGGGTTTAAATCATGAAACCAATTTTCATGAATTCTACACTCAAGACGAAGTCAGGCACAACTTTAACTTCGAGAAGATACCCACGGATGAAGGAGTTATAAATTTTACAAGACAGAGGTTTTCCAGTCCATTCATCTGCGAGTATCTGAGTCTAGAAGTTGTTTCAAGCCCAACAAAGAAGAGTTCCGAGACAAATCCAATCATAGAAGTCAAGAGGAGTTCATCAGCTATCTATAGAGCCCAAAATCACGAGAAATGGTCAAGGAAATTGGAAGATATGATCAATTTCTCCAAACCGATCAAACCAGTTCTGCAATTGCTTAATTTGGAATCTCACCGGTTCAATCTTAGTCAAACCAAACAATGGCGACCAGGAGAGGCTTATAATCATCTTAGAAGTATATCCAACGATCCAGGAGGAGTAGAAGAGTTCTTACCATGCACCAGAGCCCACATGATCAGGAGGATCTTATTGTTTGGGAGCTTTCCAAAAATAGAAGCATTCACACTTTGGAGAATAAATGACCAACGACCAAGCCATAAAAGCTGCTGCGTTTTTGGAGCATTCCTTGCTTTTCTAAGAGTCCTAAGATGCGCCATCACTCAGCAGAACAAACGGATCAAAGCAAGACCAGACTTGCCATCTTTGGAGCTATTTTTGGGATCATTTGCCATCAATTCCCAACAGCTCTTTTCAAGCCATGAATACAAGGATTTCGACCAAGCCTTGAGCATTAAAGACGTTCCTAAGAAGCTTACCTACACCCTCAAACCGTCCAGATACAAAACCAGAATCAAATCCTTTGAAGAAAGCCTTTGGATCCAAGATATCTTCCAACGGCTAGTTTGCTCAGTTTTCCATATTTGTTTGCTTCTTTCTTTGTTTTAAATTTTATAGCTAAGTTACGGCACGAGCCTATATAAGCTCTGTCTAGTCTTCATTGTAGTTTATTTTGTTTTATCAAAGTTTGTCTTTGCATAAATCTGGTCTTTAGAAATTCAGTGTGTGATTCATTGTTCTTCTATAGATTTCGTGGTCCTATAGGTTGTGTGTGATTCATCAACCTTGAAGAACACAGATTGAGAGAGTCAATCAGCCCACCAGATTGAGAGAGTCAATCATCTACTTCATCAACTCGTCCAACAAGAGAGTGCGTTATAGCCAGCTTGTTCGACCCCATCCCCACTTGATCAACCTCGGGTTAAGTGTTCATCACTTCGATCATCCTTTGTTCTCAAGAGAGTGCGAGAAAGCCAGCTTGAGGATCCATCACCACCACCTTCCAAAGGCTCCACCCGAGTCTTATATCACGAAGTCTACCCTCAAATACAGGGGGTTCATTTTGCATTTGACCAAAATAAAATAGTAGACTTCATGTGTTGTCTATCTTTTTTTTCTGGAATTAGTATACTGAAATTGAAGTCTACACTTTTATTTCTTTTTGGTCAACTTTTTAACATTTTAGTCGAATACAAAACTAACCTATTCAACGGCGTCAAAGTTTGGGTCAAACACAAAATGGACTTTTTGTAGACTTCTAGGGTAGCCTACAGTCTGTAGATTGTCGAGGAAGTCTACTTTGAATAGTCAAAAGTTCGGTCAAATGCAAAACTAACTTTTTTACGTAGACTTCTTTATAACTCTACCTCATTTTTTGTTTTTGTTATCAAAGGTAATGACGTAGACTTCCAGAAAAGTCTTCTTTACAAAAAAAAAGTTATTTTGGTCAATTGCATAACTAACATGTATGTTGACTTGTAGACCGCAGCGTAAGCCTACACATATGCGTAGACATACGATATAGTCTACTATCGCGACACGGATCTGAAAAATGACGAAAACCATGTAAATATGTACCTTTTCTGCTGTAAAGCTCGTTTCCACCTTTTTACACCGTCCAAGCTCCAAATATGAGCAAAAAGAAGCAACTTTGACGACTCACGACAGAGTACACTCGAAATATGAAGTTATGCTTATGAAAATGAAGTTTATGAGAGTTTTCTAGATGAAAAATAGAGAGGAAATGAAGATTTGTTTGCTTAGAAATACAAGAAAAGCGGTTGAAAATTGAATTCTAGAGGTTTAAAGAGCTAAAAAATGGTTGTTAATGGTGGTTGCAAAATTTATGATAAAGGCATTGTTGTAAATAAGAAGAAGTTATTAAGGTGTAATAGGGTTTTTAGCATTTTTGAAATAAATATATCATGGCAATTTTGTAAATAATTCAAAAATATAGGGAGGGATTAGGGTTTTCAAAGGTGAATAGTAATGAGAAAAAAAAGCGGTTGGTTTTGGGGTTAAATTGAATTTGTAGGTTGTTTTTGAAAAACACCCTAAACTTAGTATCACAAAATTGATTATTTTGGCTTATTAAGTAAATGGTTAATTGCATATACTAATAATTTCACTCAATTTATGCATATGTATAATAGTTTCATCTTTTATATTAAAACAGAAGTCATGACCTTGATTCATGTGTGATTTTTTAGAAAATAGACTATCGCTAGAAACATTTACTATAAGTATTTCATTAAATCTAATAATAAAATATTTGTAACTAATTTAATCATAATATCTTTTGATATCTTTTAAGTTTATATATATATGTATTCAAAATTAAAAAAAAAACTGTTGAAAAAGATTTAACAAGATCTTAACTTTTAGAAATTTATGTGAATATTTCACTAATTTCAAATTAGTAAAGAATATAAATTAATATATATATTTAGTTATTTTTATATAAAAAATCTCTATCCTTTTTATCTATCTTTTATAATAAAATTGTATTAAATGGATAAACTAATCTATTTTATTTTCATCAATATGAATTATTAACGTTAAAAATATAATACGAAGAATATGTTAACATTAGTAGTTATATAACACATGTATAAAGTTAACATATAAAATTTAATATATATATAATGCTATATTATCTAAAGAATTTTTTTTTGCTAATTTAGTATAAATTAAATATAAAATAATTTTCAAACATGCATATATTAGTTTATTTAATAATCAAATACAAATCCAAGAAGATAAATAAATAATAAGAAACGATTGAAACAATTATTATTAACATGTGAACTATAGAATTATTGCTTTTGAAATAATTTTATAAACATTTAAATATATGAATAGCATCACTAATAATGTAAAATAAATATTTATGTATATAAAACGAAAATAAAACCTGCGTAGATGTGCGGGTCAAAATCTAGTTAATGATTTACAATTCCATGCATATGTGTAGTTGGATTGAATTTTATTAGTACACAAATATATTGTTACTTAACTATAATAAATGACATGAAGGAAAACATAGTCATTAAATGGTTAGTGTAAGTTTTATTAAAAAAATGTGAGCCACCAAAATATTAAACATTAAACCCAGTATAGTTTAAAAACATACATGCATTTTGAATTTATATAGTTAAACTCTGTTTTATTAGAATTGTACATGACGATTTTATTAGTGAATCGATTTTAATAAAATATATAGTTAATATTTTAATAAATGATTAGTTATGAATAGGTTCAAAAGTTAAATGATAACTTTCAACAGTAGATTAGAAGCAAAACACCCAAAACCAATATTTTATTTTAACTGACAGAGAAGAAATAAACAACTAAACCAATTTATTATGCAAACTTCTTATTCTGAAAATCAGGCTAGAGATCCTATACTTTCAGATGGTCGTTTCTTAGAGCGCCTTGAGAATATCCTCGGCGCTGGAAACCGTAAACTCGCCGCCGGATTCAATGTTGGCGACAGTCACCTTGAGGTTATCGAGCAACATAGCAAATCTCCTTGTTCTAATACCAAGACCCTTGTCCTTAAGGTCAAGCTCGAGTCCGAGAAGCTTTGTGTATTCTCCTGAGCCGTCTGAGACAAACTTGACATGCTTGTTCTCTGGGAACGTCTTTCCCCATGCTTTCATCACATATGGATCATTCACTGCAACAAAATCCATGCAAATGATGTCTTATAAATACTTACCCAACCACACAAACTTTACACAGAGATCACAGATTTGATACCCAAGAAACGACATGACATAGAAACATATCTAACACTTACTGCCATAGCAAATTATCTCATTGATGCCCTTTGCTTTCAGCTGATCCGCTTTCTCAATGAAACTAGGGACATGCTGCAAGCTAATTCATGGAAAAAGGAAAGATAAATAATTTAAAAAAAAAGTGGAAACAAAGGATCCATTAGCTTAGATCCATTACAATGAAAAGGTAATGTCTACAAATTTACCTGCAGGCGGAAGTGAAAGCACCGGGGACCCCAAAGAGAATGACTTTCTTACCAGCCAAGAGAGAGTGAACAGAGACAGTCTGGAGCTGATCCTTCTCGTCAAAGAGAAAGATTTTTCCGTCTGGTAAAACATTACCGACAGCAATTGGAGCCATGGAGGAGATTGGTGGCTGACGGAGCAAATGGATTTGAAGAAATGAAAATCTTTGTAAACCAAGAAAAAGAGCAAATGAAAGAGTCTATAGAGATGAGCTTCATGGAGCTGAATATATATATATAGGGGGTTCGAACCATTTATTCGCTCTTTTCATAACTTCTCTTTAAATATATAATTATTTGATTTAAAATTGTATTGATTGCAGTTTTTTAGCCGTAATATTTGAAACAATACCGGAACGTAAACATTTTCTAAAATTAGCTTTTTTTTTTTATGGAATCTTATTATTGAATTTTGGCAACTATTTTAGAAAAAAAATACTTTAAAGTTTTCTAAGATTCGCAAATTAGCTTATAGTGTTTTGGGGGAAAATAATTGTTGCATTTTTATACAAAAGTTAATATAATATGTATTGATTAAAAAATAATTCCAGTAAGAAATCCTATTTTTTGGATTTTTGTTTGATTGGTAGAATTGTACTTGTAGATTTATTACAATAGAATTTTAGCTGAGCACGAATTGAGTAATTAACTTTTGGCTAGTGAATTTTGGACCACTTGAGTTATCACATAAATCCAGGCTAGTAAAGATCCCACTGAAACAGACTATATTTTCAAAGAAACCATGATCCGTAGGTGCTATTCTGGTCCATAGGGCTACTTCGCAGTTTGAAGTAGTGAGCTGTGAGTTTATGGATAACAACCATGACCCGGTTATCTTGTGATCACTCTGTCACATAACATGTCGAGATCTCCAGAGCAAGATACAACACGTGTGTCCTACATACGCGGAGTAATCAGAGCGAGCCGAACAATATAAAAAATGAGCCAAGATCATTATTTGACATATGCTTTTTGACTAACTCACTTGACACCTAAAATACTTTCTTCAGCTGCATTATCTTGCATTCATCATATTTATTGTCAATAATATTCATCCAATTCGAGCAAAATATCTTAAAGATATACTTAAGAGATCTATTCTCATAATTTCTCTTAAACCTTACTCTATTTACATTGAAATTCTGAGTGTGGATTTTAGATTTCCCAATCTAATACCGTTTGTATGGAGAAGATAAAAAGTAATCTCTGACTTAAAAGCCCAAACAAAGATCATCCAAATTAAAATGGATTCTAGAATCATTGAATCTAACCGCAACAACACACTGATCCAAACCGATGAATGTCATTCCAACTCAATATAGCAGCACCGCCATCGGCAAACCAAGCCACATCTCTACCAACGATGGATCCCAGACATCCGTTCCGGAGAACTCTCTAGCCCTGAGTGAGGCCACTCTCACTTTGGGCCCTCCAGTAATTGTTACCACAAATCGAACCAGCTCATGGGTATGCACTACAAGAAAATATGTCTATTGCAACAGAAAAATTGCAATGTCCATTTTTGTTAATAATTTTCTATGATTATTGCAATATTGTTGGGGATGGAGAAAATTTTAGAATGACTCTAATTAATTGCGTTATTGCTAAAATGACTCTTTTTTTTTTCAAAATTATTAGAAGGTTTTTCTGGTCGAAATTGTCATTGGCTATAGTTATTCCAAAAATAATAATTATTGCCCTTAAAATTAGATTATCGGCAGATTTATTTACCGAAAAAATAAATCTATCGAACGTAAAGTGTTTTTTCTAAATCGGATAAGAAAATATAATCTATCATAAAAGTGGTGGCATGTTTTTCTAAAAAATGTCAGATTTCTTTCTACAGTAGAGTTATTTGTCCGATTTGTATAGAAAACCAAATTTTGAAATATGTATGTCGAATGACACCGCCAATTTGTTATAAATTGTAGATTTTTGCGATCGGCTTAGTTTCTTATGACAGAGATATATAACTGATTTACATATGCGGCAAACTTTTTGACTTACTAAGTTGCAGACTTTTTATTTTACAAATGACATATTTGTTGACTGAATTATGGGGTTTAGTAAACCAAACTAAATTATTTCGAAATTAAACCCAGTTTACTGCAATTCCAACTTTGGTTTATTTCTAGTGGATTAAGACAACAATTAGGTCTAATTGTTGTAACTGTCATCATCTCTTTGACCCCTCTTTTCTTCCTTATCGAGTTATTCCCTTTCATGGTGATTTCAATTCTTTTTTCAATCCTTATTGCTTAGAGAAACATGGATCACATCATTCTCGTCTATGGAAAGTGGAATTTCAAAAGGAAAAAGTGATTTTTTGAAGTGGACAATGAGCAATGTAGTAAATTACTCACAGCTAACGAGAAAACTAGATATGAGGATTTTGTGAAAATCATATATCAGGATGACGAAGTTAATTTTGCAGACCACAAGTTGGAGCTGGCGTACTTTTTTTCCAAAATGTAGTCTGTTCAAGGAAAACATAGATACACCTCTTGTGAAAGTAAGAAACAATAGTCAGTTTCAAGGATTTTTGTGTCTTCACAAAGTAAAAAATGTTAGACTAGGTGTAGAGTTTAAAGTGGAGAAAAACGGGGTTGAAGAAGCTAGCAAAGATCCAGAAGAAACCTAAGAAAATGAGGATCCATTGTCTGCAGATGATGAGGATAAGGATGAAGAGGGTGATCGATTTGATTACTTCGATGATTCTGATGAAGCAACATCTGATGACAAGAACTTTACGTCATATGGGCTTCCACCAGACCAAGTAGAAGAGGATCAGGGATCTCCTACAAAGATGAGTTACGTCACTGTTCTAAAGACACATAAAAGAGATTCTCCACAGAATATGGTGAACTTGAGCTCATTCAACTTTAACGTGTGCAAGACATTTGAATGAAAAGATGCATTGGAGACAAGTCTGAAGACTTTTTTAAGTTGTCTAAAAGCTTGATTTTGTTGTGGTTAAATCTACGCCTGAGTTGTTACGTGTAAAATTTTGGTTAGAATGTTGTACTTGGAAGCTTAGAGCTACACCATTAGGTTAATCTACAAAGTTTATAACCCGAGTATATGTAGCTGAACATTCTTGCTTTGTAACAGGCGTTCGTCTCGTTCCCGACAAGATAATCCTGACATTCTTGGACTCTTGTACAAAGACTATGTTGGTGGGTTTGATAAGACTATTTTGCCATGTCATGTTGCTACTGCTATTACCCTAAGATTTGGAATCAAGGTTAATGGATTAGATTTTTACATCAAATTTACTGTATCATCTGATTTTGCTTCTTTTTAAATGTGTTGATGTTTATTGTATATTGCAGATGGATTATTGGAAAGATCGTTGTACACTTCTGGCCAACTTAACCGTGTGATATCTGATTATGAAGGCTTGGCATTTTAGTCATAGTATATTGGTGTTTTTATACCTATTTATTATATTTAGAAGCTTGTAAGTATATTTTTAGGTTCAGAAGTATTTTGGAAGAAAGTGATGTTTTTGGAGCATTTTAGATAGAATCGGAGAAATCACTCGATTTCAGAATCGACCAAGACGACGAAGTCGACACGGAGTGACTCACGTCGATCGGTATGCATTCTGCATAATCGATTGATGCCGAAGGCGTGGAAAACTAATTCGCGAGACAGCTGATTTGAAGTCCAAACTTCACCAAATTACGATTTTACCGCTGACGAGTTTTAACCTAAGTTTATATACTCTGCCAAAGTTTTAGAGACAGGGAAAAAGATTTTTGTATTCTTTTCACAGCAAAGGTTTTTAGGATTTATAGTTTGGGAGAGAAGATCAATAGAGAGATTTGTGATTGGAACTCCATTGTTTTCTATCTATCTATAATTATGCAGTTTATTACCTTGCTTGTGTTATGAATTGCTTAGTCATGTCTCAGTAATTCACTTGTTAGAATTAGGGTTTAAATAGGTCAGTGGGATTAGCCCCAACTATAGGATCGCTTGTTGTGGTATTCATTGATAGGATGTTCTTAATGCTTATTTTCTAGACTTGCTAACTAGAAACCTGAATCTTGGATTGTTAGGTTGTTTAACCATTCTTAGATAATACTGATAATCTTGAATACATCCCGATTAAGCTAGGATTTTTACTAGAGAGAAGGCAAACACTTGATTTAGAGAATCCATAGTGAGTATAGATTAACTCGCGTGTAATGCTTGACTAGCCGCATGGGTCGATATTCCCATTGGAAATCGATCGACGTCGAGTAAAGTGTATCGATCGATATTCCTCTAGAATAATCTATCGACACTGTTATTGATCAGACATTCTTGTTTGGGTCGATAATACTCTAGTCAATAGACTTATTTATTAAGCGAAAGTTTAGTAAATCTGTTATTAAGATAGTTAAACTATTTAATACCATGCAAACAACTAATTAGCACCTATAGTATTATAATCTCCAAGATATGAATAAAATACCTAAGTCTAACACCTTTCCATTTAAGTTCAAAACCCTCATTATATTCTTGTCGAGTAATTGTCTTATTTTCTGTCTACTTGTTTACTGCGATTTTCCTATTAATATAAACCTAGTTTGATTGCTTGATTAGATTTAAGTGGTTCCTTATCTCATTGTGGATCGATTCCTAAGTACTGCAGTAGATCTCTTATTTGAGAGAGTAAGTTGCTCCATAGGGTAATTTGAGCACATATCAAAGTTGGCGCCGTTGTCGGGGAACTTTGATCGCCATTAGATTTAGTCTAATAATTCTAGGTTTTTCTTTTTCTTTTTCTTTTTCTTTTCATCTTGTGCTAATTTTTTTTCTTGATTTTCAGGTGCATGCACAACATTACCAGATGCAACAAGGAAAACAACTGCTTTTTACAGAAGATCTAGAAAGCTTGGAACGTTCAATCCGCAAAGACTTACGCTCCACGTCAATCGATAGCAACACTCGCAAATCGACTGATTCTCATCAGACGACAACCGACCTCGCTCTCACATTGATCGACACCGATAACCCTTCGTCGACCAATTATCATCACTCGACATCGATCGACACCACGCATCGTACATCGATCGATACTCAGCTGCGAGACATGGTTGCGCCTCTGATACTAACTGCGAACGAG